TATTTGAGCCCAATAAGATTTAAATTAAGGTTTGATTTTCATTATAAGGGCTAATGGTGAAAGTTGGTGGCACTAAGTAAAGGTTTTTAATTAATTAAAAAATTATATAAATTTGGAAATTAGCCTAGTGATGGCTAATAAATGATTTTGGTGGTTAAGTAATATTATGTGAATGGTTGGTTTAATATATGGACCATTGGGATGGATTATGCTCATAGACCCAAGTTGTGTGGTATGAGTTATAGTCTTCATTAATGCTATTTGACATGATAAGTGATGTGGATTACTTATATGTTGTAGGGATTGTTGGTGGAATTTGTTCGGAAGTTAAGGAACAAGCTAAGTTCTATTTTGTACAAAAAAAACCCTTTTGATACCAAAGGGTTGAGGGAACAGGGGAATTTATATTTCTTATTACTTTGTTTTAGCTATTTTTGAATAAATATTACTAGCTATTATGCATTACATGTTTTAAAAGATTAAATGTGCTTTATAAGGGGTTATGGGGTACTACTTTAATTATAGTGCAAATATGTTTTTTTTAATTATTTAATAATAATGTTTTTATGGAAACGAGATTTATAAATGTTATACTACTTTAGAGTGTTGAATGGTCAATACTCAGGAAAGATAGACAAGAGTAAAAGGCATGATCTTGTTGGGAGTTCACTAATGAGAAGGTGTGGATTTTTAATATTTTATGGCACACTATTAGTACTCAGTGTTGTCTTACGTATTGTGGGCTCAGTGCACTAAAGTGGTTAGTGTATTGAGTGTTCGACACCTCTCAGTGGGGGAAGGAATCCGACATATGAGTGCTTGGGCCAAGGTAGCCCTCACATGGAGAGTAAGTCGGGCTGGCTCTAGGAGGGAGTTAGCTTTGACTGCTCAGGATTCACGTCGAAGGGGCATAGGCGGTTTAGTGGATTAGATCATGCCTTAGACTATGTTTTGTGCCTGTGGACGTACAAGTAGGTATAAGGTTTACCTGTGAGTTAAAGAGTGTCAGGGGGAATTCTGTTGGTCATGAAAGGCCATACCGGCCTAGGTCATGCATTCATACATTTTAAATGGCTAAATTATATACTATGTTAAATTTATTATTCATTTATTTAATTATGGCTTACTTTGTAATAATCAATGTAGATTTCTCTGTTATTGAGACTGTAATTGTCTCACCCCTTTCTTTTCAATATTATAGGTCCAAGTGAAGGATCCAGTGGTGGACGGGGAAAGGAGCAAAGCTAGGGGTTTGCTTGTGATTTGTAAAGAACTGCAACCCCTTTCTTTTGAGCAAATATATTGTAATGTATTTGGGATTAGGGTGCCAGTAGGATATGATTATGTATGTGTGTGTGAATATGTGTGGATTGTGTACTTGTGTATAAATTTTTGTCTGTTTGTAGACTTGTGGCTAGGAAACTTGATTATGGTGTGTGGTTTTGATGGATTTACTTAATAGACCAAGTTTTTATTACAAGCAGATATTTATTTGTGTGTGTGTGTGTGTGTGTGTGTGTGTGTGTGTGTGTGATTCTATAAGCAATTGCAAAGTGGTTGCATTGCAAATGGTGTGCTATAGGCAAACATACACCTTGGATAGAGAGAGTGGGAGCGTGGGCCCCACAAGGAGCTCTGAGCCAAGTAAAAATATTTAGCATATGTATTTATATAAATACATGGTATTTAGATTGATTTGTGACCACTGTTGTATGATTTGTGCATTTTGGGTTTTAAGATCTATTTTGAGAAATGGCACCTGGGTGGTCAAATTTTGATGTATGGAGATTTTCCATCGTTTGAATGTTCTATCAGGTGTTTTTAGTCTTATTTGACGTGTCCAAAGTCTTTCCACAGGTTTGTGACCATTAGGATGAGATTTGGAAAATTTTAAAAATGGTTTTTACCAAAAAGCTGCACTTTTGCATCCGGGTGTCCAAATCTCAATCCAACCGTTGGATTTCTCTAAAATTTGGGTCACAAGTAAAACCTTTTATAAGCTTCGTGTGAGATTTGGAATCATGTCGATCGGATATCGAATGGAGAAATGGCACACTCCAGAATTTGGTCTGGAGGTGCTGTCATGACAGCATTTCATTACTGTCATGATAGCTACAGTAGTGATATTGTAACCTTCATAAAATTTAATTTGTCTGTTGGATCTTTTCAAAATTTGGTATGCTAATAGTATTCTTTAAAAGTGACATGTGAGCTTTGGAATCACTCCAATCGGAGGTCGGATGATGAAATGGTGCACTCCGAAAGTTGGTCCGAAAGTGCTGTCATGACAGCAAAAGTGACCAAATTTATAACATGTCTAATTTTTAATCCGACCGTTGAATCTTTTTAAAATTTGGTATACTTATAGTACCCTTTGAATGTGACTTGTGAGCTTTAAAATTTCTTCGATCGGAGATCAGAAGACAGAACAGTGCCTCCCTAAAGTTGATTCGGGAGGGCTGTCATGACAGCAATTTAATGCTGTCATGACAGCATATTTTTACCCTTCTTTCGCCTAACTTGCTTCCGTGCGTTATAGGTAAAACCTATAAATTTTTTTAAAAGGCTTTAAATGTTTACTTTGCAATTGTGTATTTGCTTAGTGATTTAAATGGTTTCTTTCCTAAGTTAATTTTAGGATTAATTCCTTAATCACACTTAGTTTATTTGAATTGTGTGATTTTTGGATAACACTCGGGGCAAGTGTTACATTTGGTATGTAACAGTCATACCCCCCCGAGCCCACTGCTGCTAGTGGTGGACTAGGCCGTAACCACCTCACGGCAACCCAGCCGACTTTCCCCATGGTAGTACATAGTTTATTCCCCGCACCCACTGCGCTAAGGGAGCCTTCCCAGGTTCGATCCTCCAACCTCTCCTACATAGCGAAGTTGAGGCTGAACCTGGTACCATTGAGTTTTAACTCAATGGTACCAGGTTCAGCCTCAACTTCGCTATGTAGGAGAGGTTGGAGGATCGAACCTGGGAAGGCTCCCTTAGCGCAGTGGGTGCGGGGAATAAACCATGTACTACCATGGGGAAAGCCAGCTGGTGGTTGCCGTGAGGGGGCACGGCCCAGTCCACCACTCGCAGCAGTGGGCTCGGGAGGTGTGACTGTTACAAGAAACATCACAAAAAAAATGACTTATAATTTAAGGGACAATTTATTCTTTTACCCTAGTTATTATTCTAACATTACCCCTCATTCACAAAATTACTATTTCAAAAACATTGTTCTATAAAAAGAAACATTGTTCTTCAGTGCATTAAATAATAACGGGACATATAGTTCACACATAAGATATTTTTTTAGTTTATTCATTCAGAAAATTACCATTTCAATTTTTCCCTCCTGTAAATCAAATCATATTGCAATTTGGTCCTCCATCGGACTCTTTTTTTTCCAACTCATTTTGTGATAAATAAATGTCATAATTTAGTTCTTCACAAATAAGATTGTGAACAGTAGGAGCTTTCTATCAATTTATAAAATATTGATACTCCACTTTTACACACACACACACATCCAAGCTATAGGTCGTCGGTTCATTAAAAACAAAAAACAAAAAAGTCATACAGCAGTAATATATTCCTTTAAAAAAAAAACATTTATCAAAGTTATATGTTAATGTTATCACTAATGTTATGCTTTGGCAAAATAAAAAAGTGGAAGGAAAACGTGAGGAGAAAACAATATTTTTTTCCTACTTAATTAGGGAGAAAAAAGTAATCATCATTAATCACCCCTCATGGCTTAGGTCAAGTTTGCGAAAGCAGTGTAATGGAAGAGTCATTGGGTAAGTGTGATGACTTCTTCTTCTTCTTCTTCTTGTTTTTTTTAGATACATAGTCTATTATGTATTTAATACCATTATTTAACGGTTTTTAGTTTTAAATTATTTTTAAAATAAGTTCTCGAGAATAATTTCCTATTCAATTTTCATTCTCATATAACCTATGTAACCAAAAATTGACCTCAGTTTTAGGCTTTTCAATGCCAATGCCAGTATCTGCTACATACAATTGGAATAGAACTGATCTGCAAAAGGAAGCGGTGCATAAGCAACCAGAACATATGTGAAAGAACCAACAAAAAGATATCATGCCATTACCATTGAAATTCCCTCTTATCAGATTTATCAAATTATTTACCACCTTTCTTAAAATTAGATAACAAGCAATTTAGGTACCCTTCATGCTCAAAACTCAAAAGTGAATATGATACATCCGGAGAAAAATATAAAGGAAAAAAGATGATAAGCTTAATGATTAAAAATGGACTCCAAATACAATTACATTCTCTTGTATCACTCTTTCCTTTTTCTTTTTGGCTTTTTTAAATTATATGGTATACACTATTATCGTGTCAGATTTCGGCATTGTTAGACACAAATGGAAGTATTTCTCTCAATGTGATTTTCTCCATCCCCAAGGTTCAAACACAAAATTCTACTTCAGGAGTATTGAGCAATAGGTCTCTTCTATTCGACCCAATCACCATGATCTCTCATGTCACTCTTTTTTCCAAATGTTTGAATGCAAGAAACAAGGGGTCTAATTTTGATAACAAGGAGATTCTTGAATAATACTGCTCTTTGCATATCTGGTTTGAAACAGAGACTCTGTGAACAAAACAGTATCACAGGCCACTCTAGGTAATCTAAGTAGATAGAGTCGTAAGTCCAACCAAACAAAAAGAACTCATACTGTTGACAACCAGATGATATCATGAAATATTAGAGACAGAGCATAACACCTTGATTGGATCCTATGTTTTGGCATGAGGCTCAGGAAAAGAATGCCTGAATTTCGCCAGTGACCTGTTATACACAAGTGCACAAAGACGAACAGAAAACGGAAATTTACAGTTTACTGAAGAAATTATGATAACATAATTATGAGAGCCAGAGTTACAAGAGTTCTACTGTCGGTTATGTTACTCATTGTCACCGCTCTGTAATAAATAGAACTCAACTAAGTAATGAGAAAAACAGAGAACATACAAAGAAATTAATTTACTACTCAAATCTGGAGAATAATACGGTTAGTTCAGTGTGTGTGCGCTCTGTGCAGAAATACAAGTACAAATGTACAACCGCTGAAAAGTAAACAAACATTCTAAGTATGACACTGTTAGAGTATCACAAAGTCGAGATCTTGTACAAGATGAAAAATTTACTCTGTTTGGTCTTCAATAATTCTCTCTAAAAACAGGTACTGAAGAGCTATGGAATACTTCGCAACTTTTGTCCTATCAGGCTTCTGAGTTCCTGAAGAACTCCTACCTTTTAGAATGAATGACCCGGTTTCATCTCCTTCTGAAAGATCCAGTAATATGACAACTATTATTTATATGTCACTTAAAGAAGCACAAGTGACATGAAAGTGAGTGCTATAGGGTAATGAAAGGACACTTCCTACTGCCAAGGCAGGAAGCCCTGTACTTTAAATGTTCATACAATAATCTAATGGCAGGAAATGGACTCAAACAGGGGCAGCGGAGGAAATAGCCAAGTATAAAGACCATACTTACATGGTCATTTCATATAACTAACCTTTAATTGTAAAAATGGAGGGTATCCATTTCTTATAGATGAAATGCAACCTAGGGGAGTCTCCATGGTATGTATCTGATAACAGAAGCTTGCAAGATCCTTTTTGACTGTTAAAAAAGTTATTAAAGAATTTTATCAATATATCAGTCATGCAATGAAGCATCTCACTCAGGTTCCATACTACAAACTCTTGCAAAAATAAAGCACACTTACTTTGCATAAGTAATTGCATTGTGACATAAAGCTAGGCTCCTGACCATAGCTAAGTCTCTTCCACGAGGATTAGAATGCCGTTCTTGGCAGATCCTTTGAGAATTCAGAATTTTAGAAAAATGTTGCTAAAGGGAAGGGCTAGAAAATTTTCACATAGAGATTTAAAAAAATGTTGCAACTAAGCCCATATCTAAGACAATAAAGACTGAATTACCTATTATCAAAGAAATCTCCAAAATCATCAATTATAACAGCAGCAGGCAAAACATCATAGAGATGGAAGGCGGCAAAGTACTTGTTGATGTCCTCATCATCATTCACATACCTTACTTAACCGAGAAAAAGGAAAAGATGATCAAATTTCAAAGAAGAACTAAAAAAGGAATCAGAACTACACATAAGTAGTAAGGAGTAAATGATATGATCGTACTTCATTTGTATACGGTGGAAGACATCGGAAGACGCGTCAATGCCCTGAAATTAACAAAACTTGAAGTCGTTAGCAAAAGAAGGGAAACCACATTACACCCGTTCGAACTATGGGCACTATAAACTTCAAAAAGTAATAAACCCCTCCGTGAATTTGGGACCTAAACAGAAACACTAATTCCTGGTTAAAATTAATGGCAACGACCCATGTGATTTTGACAAATACAACTCCCTAACCTGGAATTTTTCTTTTTCAGAGCTAACCTAATGCCATAATTTTGAACGAAATTATTATACTTGACTTAGCTCAAAATTCAGTTCTAAACAGATTCCCTCTAATTTCAACAATAAAGGGATGTTCATTATTCCATGCTTTCATTTTAAGCCCAGTATTTATCACATTCTAAAATCGAAAGCACACCTGCCAATTTTGTAAGGGAGATTTGTATACCTCAAAATTTCTAGTTTTAAACAGATTATCTCAAATTTCAACAATCATGGGATATTCAATTCTTTCATTTTAAGCTCAGTGTTTGGTCACACTCTAAAGCAAACCTGCCAATTTTTTTAATTAGGCACAAGGTCAGGGAGAGATTTGAATACCTGAGAAAGAAAAGGGGGTTTGGAATCCAACTTGTGGCGGTTACAGATGAAGAAGACATTGGAAGTGGTTGAGCTGGTGCGTGATACTGCCACATGGAACGCAAATTGAAAAAGCAGAGAGGTTTTGCCAGAGGAAGGAGGACCTGAGAGAAGAAGCAGATTCGGAAGGTTTTCAATTTCTTCAGGTGGGTCTGAGCGTCCCCTCCAGAAAAACGCCTCCACCACCATCACTATCGAGTTCGAAGCGTTTTCGTTGTTCGACGATCGCTGCGATTGAATGCACTTGACGTCCTAGAATGGAACTCTTTTCGAATAATGAGGAGAGAGCATCGTCTTCCTCCTCATGCCTGCCTTACCACCGTATACAGTTCAAAGATGTTGCATAAATCTCATTCATTCTTTTTCTTAGATAATTTATTTTAAAAGGTGTCAAAAATATAATTTACTTTAAAAAAATTAATTTTTTAATCCATTAACTTTTAATTCATTTATAACTCAAACTTTTAATTATGATTCACTGTAATTCAGTCCCTTAATTATGATTCGTCTATGACTCAGTCCTTCAACTTTTAAATCACTTATAAATTAGTCCTTGAATTTTTATTAATTTTTTTATATTAACTTATATCTCACATCAGTAAGCAAAAGGAGGGTATTTTAAAATAATATATGAGCATTTTTATTCCTCTTATTTGATAAAAATTTTTAAAAAAATTAAAAAATAATGACCGAATTATAGGTGAATCAAAAGTTGAGGGACTAAATCGCAACGAGTCATCGTTGAAAGATTGAGTTACAAGTGAGTTAAAAGTTAAATAATTAAAAGATTAATTTTTTTATTCTAAATTAAACGAAAATGTGTCGATGTCTTCATGGATCATCCAACAAGACAATGCTTTCTTTTCTTTTCTTTTTCGTTTTTAATGCAAGACCACCGCAAAGGCCTTTTGAAGAAAAAAAATCAATTTATGTCAAAGTAAACAATGCTTATACACTGTAAGGATGGGTCAACAAAAATTATGGAATCTAAATTATCATTCAAAGCATGATAAGCTAACTAATCTGTACATTTATTTATTTCTTTAAAAACATGATCAAAAATTATAATTCAATTTCTCATAACCGAGTCTTTAATTTTATTGATAATATTTGAAAGAGGGTGGCTCCTAAAGAATTCTCGTTGAATTAGTGTGAGGACTTCAATTGAATTTGAGTAAACATTGATCTTAGTGAAATTGTTATCCCAACAAAGTTTAAGGCCTTTGAGGATATCTATAAGTTTTGCAGCACTATTGTGATAATAATCAAGGTATCTGAAAAAGCCTTTAAGCTAATTTCCTTAATTGTCTTTAAGGATACCTCCATAGGTAGTAGAGCTGTTGCAACCAATAGAGTCGCCAATCTTATCCATTTAGGTTCGGGAGGGCACCATTTTGCATAAGTCCAATCATATCCCAAAGGGTTGTTGTTAAGTTTTGAATGCATGTTAAGGTCATTGATAATGTCTTAGGTGCAACTGAAAGCAATGTTTTTAGTAGGATGACATTCTTCATAATAGATAACTTCACACCTCTCCTTCCAGATATCCCAGCATATAAGGGCAAAAAGTCTCTACTTACGAATTCTTCTAATATTAGGTTTTGCCAGATTTTTTTTGTTTTGTTCCATTCCAAAGTAACTAGTCTTGCAATGAAAGAGAAAAGAAGTATTAGTCTTGTGATTTTTGACAAGGTTCAGCCATACTTCTCTAGATTTTATACAATCATGTAGGATGTAAATTGAAGAGTCAGGAGAATTGCAACCAAAGGGGCATATTCTTTCACAAGAGCCTGCGTCCCTCATGTTAACAAATTTGGATTGAAGACATTCCCAAGTGGCTATAAGCCATTTTCTAATAGTGGGACCAAATATCATTTTTGCTTTCGCCTTGATGATTGACAATTGCTTCATAGGTGGATTTGATAAAAAAGTGGCCATTCGAAGATGGCCTCCAACAAAGAATGTCATCCTCACCATATGGATTAGGATGTTGGATAAGTAAGATTGATTTTATCACATCCAGGTGAAGGTAAACAGCCAATCTTATCAATATTCCATCCTCTTGTGGTAGAACAAAAATCAAAGACAGTTACATGAAGCCTGAAGGGTAGAATCAGCATTAGGAGAAGCATATTTAACAAGGGGCTCAAGAAGGAAAGACCACCTATTATGCTAAAAAGATATCAGATTGCCCTTATTGACTTTCCATCCAAGATGAGCTATGAATTTATCCCAAACTTTACATATATTAGACTAGGTATAGGAAGAGGAGCTAGGTTTGGAAGCCATAGGTATAGTGGGCTTGTTACATTTGTATGTGTCATGCGCATCCACTTTTACATCTGCATATAACTCTACTATAATGCTCCTTAATGTATGAAATATAAACGGTTTTCATACCAATAAAATTCTTATTCGTATAAAAATATATATTATTTTTCTTTTAATCATTATTGCCAATTTATGATAAATGAAAAGAAAATCATAAATACATGGTAAACATAGAAATAAATAAATTACTTATATTTTGGACTAAGATTATATGGAAAAACAACTTATATTTTAGACTGAAGAGATTATCAAATAAACTAACTAAAATTAATGTGAGGATTAGTAGAGGTTCTTGTTAGTTAAACAAGAGTTGGGGGTTCAAATCCATAGGGATATATACTTTGATATATTTTATATTGAACGAATATTGATGAATTAGACGTTATAATGACTTATTACAAATTTTTACATTACAAAGACCGTGATAAAACCTTATTTGAAATTATCAATATTGAATAAATCATTGATTTAAAAAAATAAAAGAAGTATTTATTAATACTAATAATATACTAATATAGATAAATTGCAAAACTTTTGAACTTTGCAGTTCGCAAAATATCCAAGATATCTTAAACTTTGAAATTCTTATATGACCTCAGTAACTTTAGTGCATTTTTTTATTGTAGACAATATGAAATTTAATAAAATTATTTAAAAAACAAAATTTGTTGAGATTTCCATGCCCAAACTTGTGTGTTGACAAGGAATTAAGGATTCATTATCAAATTTAGAAATTATACGTGTAACCAAATGCTAAAAAAAAAAATCCATGTGCAGTTTATCACGGATATTAATATATGATGGGCCACTAAATTTGATGGGCCATCATGTAACTGTTGTGGGCTGGGCCTTTTAAGCCCATGTAGTACCTGGTGCGGCAAAATATTGTTTTTTTTAAATATGATGGAATTGATTTTTTGGGTAAAAACATATGATGGAATTCTGAGTAATGAAAGGAAAGTGGAAAAGGAATAACTTCACATGGATGTTTGGTATTCTCAAATCCAAACTAATTCCACCATAGAACCCCAAACCCTCTTCCATTCGAGGAAGCAAATAATTGATATAAATTACAACTAATCTTGTAAGATTTTTAATTCGCTCGTTTAGTTACTTCCTACCAAGGTACAAAAATCAGACGAGTTATTAAATTGATCAAGGTAGCAATTCAATCATGGCTGAATGAAGATAAATATAATTTAATTAAAATATATGAAATAACACAAATATGATGAATTGTTTTTTTTAATTCAAAATGATGTCATCTTTGGCTTAATAAGAAGAGAAAAATATAAAATCTAATTTGATTAATTTGTCCAAAGCTCTTGATTGAGTCGTTTAGAATACTGATGCACTATTTCACTAGTCTGACTAGTCAACTCAAGTTAAGTTTTAATGCTAGGCTTATTGCAACTTCTCTTTCAATATTATGACCACACTATTTTATTGACGATACCTAGAGCCGGTAACTCCAACCAAGCTCAAATTCACCCAAAAAAAAGTTATGATCAAGCTTGATTATATGAGTTCTTTTTAAAAAGTAGGATACTTGAAGCTTAATCTGAATAAGTTTGGCCACTGAAATTACAAGCTTTATATGTATGTAGAGCCGATAATTCAAGTCAAGCCCAACGAGCTAGCTTGAATCTTTCCTAAAAATGTCCCATATTGAGCCGATCCTAATAAACCCTAGTTCATTTGAATTACTGGCTTTAACTATTCTTTTCTGTCCTTATTATAAGGCATTTTTAACTACTTTACTAGAACTAAGGAGAAATGATTAAGTGATTAATTCTATTTGAAAAATAAAATAAACTTTCAATTATACTGCAATTTAAATGTAATTTTTTAAAATCTTCATTACATTGTCATTACAGCCTGAAGAATCCTTATATTAAGAATGAAAGAATCCTTCTAAATGGTAACTTATAATAGAGACCAAAAAAAAAATAATACTCCCTCCGTTCAAAAATATAAAGCATTCTACCCTTATTAGATACCCTATAATAAATATAAAGTTATTATCAATAGGAGCACTTTTTTTTAAAAAAAGGCAATAATTATACTTCAAAAGACTAAAAATGTCTTACATTTTTTAATATTCAACTCTTTAAAAAAGCCTTATATTTTTAAACGAAGAGAGTAACATTTTTTTAATTTGTTAAATTTATTGTTTTGTTTTAACCATCAAGGATCTTGAAACTTATGCATTATTTTATAAATTAAAAAACATATTACTCCCTCTATTAAAAAATGAAAGACATATTTTTTGAGTAGTTAAATGTTAAAAAATATAAGACATTTTTAGTATTTTAAGGTACAATTAATGTGATTTTTTTCAAAAAAATATTCTTAGTAAATGAATCATTTTATATTTAGTTTTAAGTGAAACATGTTATTAAAAATATTTGAATGAAATTTAATTAAAAATATCTTAAATTTTCTTAGTATTTAATAATTTATCTTCATCTCCCCACGATTAATATTTTCCATTTATCAAATAATGATTGATTCTTTTTTTCTTTTTTTTTTTGTAACGGGAAAGGCCACGACAAGAACCATACAAAGACAAGAATCAGGTCATGTCAACGCTTGAAAAGATATCACACCCTAACGGTGGTTCGTCTAAAATCTTAACAACAAGACTATCAATAAGCACTTGATATGCAATCCAATCTGCATAATTGTTGGCTTCTCTATAGACTAATCTAAAGTGATCATCTAGTCTCACATAGTAAGTTCTCTAATCTTCGTGATTGTTTTGGAAAGAGGATGATTATCATTAAAATCACAATGGATAAATGAAAGAGCTTCAAGAAAATCAGAGTAGACATTTGTTAGATATGGCAATACACCCAAGAGGGGGTGAATCGTGTGTTTAAAAAATTTTCAATTCTTTTAAAACCTTTTCAATAAAACTGTGTTTAAAAGAAAGTCTAAATAAATTTGAGTTCTAAACTTTGTTTGTAAAAATGCTAAAGTAATCTTCACAAGCTCAACATGTGGAAAAATAATTTCTATGTGGAAG